CACCCCTCCCGCCCACATTAATCGCCGCGCCTTCTCCTTCGTCTTTTCTTCCAACACATACGCTAAATAACGCGGGTTTCATTTATTATGAGACTATGATCATTTTTGCGGGACTTTTCTATACTCGCCTTTGCCTCCTGGTGGCTCTTTATTATTCTCATGTTGTGGGACTACGGCTTTTACCGTCTAGGGCGTTTGGAAGAAATACGGTTGGGCAGTTTTTGAAAGGCTCAATGTCGTGTGAATTTTCTGTTACTCAACTTTTCAAGTTATTCGATGGGAGTACATTTTTTTTTATGTGGAAAATTCAGGCCAGAAAATAGAACTATCGACTTAGTAGACTGAAAATGTCTACAAACTCCTTAATTTTCCAAATACCGTTGTAAAATCCATAAAACAGCGGATCAGATTTTTAATAAATTCCTTTAATAAAATCTTGTCATCGTACCCCACATTCCCTGATTATTTTAAGCAAACAGCATTCGACGTGATTGTTGTAAAAACAGTTAAACAACTCCGTAAAAATCCATTTTTCTCTCAACATGGTCCCTTACAAAATAGGGCACCTTATCATAACTGGGGAATAGCCGTGTCCTCGTAGGAGCGGTTGAATAGGTGTTTCTGTTTTCATCTTTACGGGTCCCACCGAAATATTTGGAATGCTTCTGAATGCGCGTTGAGACCTGTTCGCCATTTAACTCACCGGTGAGAATCTGGGAGCCCAGGGATTTTCTACCTCTTGTGTACAATCGAAGGCGTGCAGGTGTCCAGAGGCCGTTGGAGACCCCAGCCTGTCTGTCAATGCCGCAACCCGTACCTTTGTATCTTCCAGCGATGGCTCTAATCCTCTCTTTCAATTTCCTTTTCCCCTTGCATTCTTTGCGTCATCCACTTCCAGGAAAATCTCGAAAAATCCGGTACAAACGCGCCGTCTCCAGGATGCCAAATCTTCCTAATAAAATCACCCCAATGTTCCAGTAAATACTGTACAAATTTATAATCCTACCCTCAGCCTTCTCGCGACATTCAACAACTTTAGTACAGGCTTAATTGAAAATTCATAATTCCACGGAAAAATTAATTGATCCTTTGAATATTTTGGAAAGATTTTCGATATTAATACGAACAGGCGAACCTTTGTAACAGGTCACAGGGAATAACGAAACGTTTAGACTGTTTATTACCTACAACCCAACACGTGGACCACCCTGAGGGACAAAGGGCCTTGTCTAGACTCTGGACTCTGGGCCCGGACCTCACAACCTCAGCGATCTGGGGACCAGAACACCTTTTAACGGAGTCTTCACCAAGCAACATTGGACATCATCAATCTAGCTATAGAATTATATCGAGTCCCCAACTAAAATAAAATTCTTGAAAAAACTAATAAAAAATCTAGTTCAATAATAAAGTAGTAGGAGATCTTAATTTCACCACAAGCAGTTCAATTCTGTTGATTCCCATAAAATCTTATCAAAAAAAATTTCGACAAATCGATAATCCAGTGTCCACGATAATCCGCCGAGTCCTTCAAAAATTCCCGAAAAATTCCCAAAAAATTCCCAAAAAATTCCCAAAAAATTTCCAAAAAATTCCCAAAAAATTTCTGGAGCCCCTAAATATTCATTTTCATCCCAAAACTCAACTAAATCATTGAACTTCCTCTCCCGCCCACAAAAAATCACTGCCCTGAGTTCCCCAAGCTCCCCGAAAATTCCAACAATTTTCTCCCCAACAAAATCAAATAAACACCACCATTAATTTTCTCAAAAGTTGCACTAAAAACATTAACAGTTAATAACCCCGTGGCAAAATGACCTCAAAGTGCCAAGTCCCATGCAATGTCCCCCCTGCCCCCGCCCCTATTTTCCTTCAGTTGTCTTAATTTTTTAGGGCGGTGGCAGGGGGTGTGGGGGGTTGCTCTAACAAGTGAAAGGTTCCAGTGGAAATTGTTTTGTTCAATTTCGAAAGTAATTTATAACCATCACTGGCCTCGGGACCCGAAGAGTGCCAAGAAGAGTCTTTGGTTGGAACAAGTACCGTGGGATTCGTGGGAGCCTGTTTTCTCGCACACACACCGTTCACCATTGAACAAGAGGGAGGGGGAGGGGTGAGGAAGGGGGGGGGGCTACCAACAGGCCGAGGCCACGCCATATTCTTTTTGTCCAACACCCTCGCGTAAGAAGGTTCGAATTTCTGCCACAATGCCCCGTCGCCCTTCTTAAAGAAAAAAAAAATTTTTTCTTCTCCTCCCTGGAGGCTACACCGACATTCTCCGCTGATACCTCTTCTTCTC